AATAACGAACAGTATTCAAGCTTAAAAGTCTATAATACAATTAAAAATTGGAACAGAGCAAACAACGACCTCCAAAAAATCAGTTGTGGGATCAGGTGTCATGGAGGAGTGAGCATCGCCTAACGACCAATCACAATAAATAGTTTATGTCTCGAAAAAAGTTTTGGTACACAACGCCAAGTTCTTAGAACGGTCAATTTTTACTATGTTCATGTACTATAAAAATCGATGTAAGAAATGACGATAATTAATTAATTAATTATTACTGGACTTAAAATATGATGCGCAAAGGAGGGCTTAATTTAGAATGAATTGAAGTAATGATTAATATCACAATTTTTACATTTGCAAAAGTTTTCTTTAATATAACACCATACAAAGCAATGCGTATCTACAACCGTGTAAATTTAGGTTCCTCACGTCATAAACGTTCGTTGTAATTTCTCAATGACGTCATAAATGGCCGACGCGCAATCAATGGACTACAAACGTGTCGTTGAGCTTGAAAAATAAAATATTTTACGCGTTTAAAATCATAATCAGGCAAACATAGAAAATGAATAAGTCACAAAAAATGTAAGTATTTAGATTTCAATTTAAAACATGTATCGGCCTATAATATAAATGTGAATTGGAACAAGATCAAAACAATAAAGTCCTCTGGGCTTTATGGAATTTTATCTCGTGACCGACAAGTATTCATATCCCAAAAGATGTTTAAAAATGATACCTTAAATTACATAACTTAAATTACGTACTGCAAGACAATATTCAGACTGTCAATTGAAGAATAATGTCGACTCAGAAGGGCGAAATAAGATTATCACAGAAAGATCATTAAATGTATAATTGTTAAATTAGCAGAAAAGCACGCACAAAAAGATATATATTCCTTTTATGACTGTTTTTCTTTGAAATACGATAAATATAGATACTTGAAAGTTATGTTTCCAATATAACGGCACAATTTTTACCAAGATTTTTCGGTAAAGAATAATATTGAATTTCAAGGTAAGATAAAGAACTTTACCAAAATCAAGAGGCTCATCGGGCCGCAACTCTCACCTGAGTAATTTTGACTATGCTATTCTTCACCACATTCTCCCCATTGTAATACCTATTGAGGCCCAACCCTATGCTCCGAGGGGAACGATTTGGAAATTTTAAAATCTACACTATACCAGGATGCTTCCATATTCCAAGTTGCAACTCTTCCGCCTCAGTCGTTCTTGAGAAGAAGATTTTTCATATATATTATTTCAATGTAAAACTTGGACTCCCTTTGTGGCCCCGCCCAACCCCGGGGGCCATGATTTGTACAATTTAGAATCAACACTATTCCAGGATGATTCCACATAAGATTCAGCTTTCCTGGCCAAGTGGTTCCTGAGAAAGATTTTTCAACATTTTTCCTATTTAGTTTAATGTAAAACTTGGACCCCCTATTGTGGCCCCACCCTACCCCGGGGGGTCACGATTTGTATAATTTAGAATCAACATTATTCCAGGATGCTTCCACATAAGTTTCAGCTTTCCTGGTCAAGTGGTTCCTGAGAAAGATTTTTAAACATTTTTCCTATATAGTGTAATGTAAAACTTTGACTCCCAATTGTGGCTTCACCCTACCACGGGGGTCATAATTTGAATAATTAAGAATCTACACAATCCCAGGATGCTTCCACATGAGTTTCCGCTTTTATTTTCTGGATTATCTTCCCTTGGAAGGAGGCTTGGTCCTACATTTTAACATTTTAAACTCCGCTTCACCCAAGAATGCTTTGTACCCAGTTTGGTTAAAATTGGCCCAGTGGTTATTGAGAAGTTGAAAATGAGAAAAGTTAACAGATGGACGGACGGACGAGTATTTAAAGTTATGCCCCCATTATGAAGCTGAAATGTTTTAGTTGTTTATTATAAAAAGCTTTCTTCGATAAAGAGTGTTAAATTTCAGGGTGACACAAGAATATTAGAAATTAAATTTTAAATGCATCCATTTAAAAATTGTAAAATAATAATGTACCAAAAATCATATTCCTTTTTAGCTGTTTTTCTTCGAAATTCGATTAGTAAAGATACATTGAAAAAGTATGCGTCACTTACCATGGTGCAATATTTACAATAATTATTAGTAAAAAAGCTTAGTAGTAAAGTAGTTTAAAGTATAATAATGTTTTATATTGCAAGGCTATAAAGTACTGAAATGCTAACATTTACAGAATATGGTAAAAATGACAGTATTTACTCCATTAAGCCAGATAAAGTACATTCATAATTATGTCCTCGAAAATTTAAAACGAAGAAATTGTTTATTTCATTATGCCCGAAAAATTCTGACAGTTTTTAACTTCGATCTACAAATGCAATTTAGCATCATTATTGGACACACTAATAGGTAATGTGTATATTCTTATTATGGCCCAAAATCCCCCAAATAACAAAAGGCAACGGGGTGAAAAGACTGCTATAATGTCCAACACTTGTTCAGTTGTACATGTATCCCATGTCGTGAAGTTTTTATTATAAAAAAAATTGTTAAGAACATTGCTGAGAAAAAGTTTCTTATATCCTTAAACTCTAGCTAAACCCATCAAATTAGGTTACAGTAATTTATACATTAATATCAGTTTCGTCCTTAAAAATCTAAACTCTTAATGTAAAAAGTTTGTAGATTGATTGGGTTTGAATGTTTTCTAAAATGTTTCTTTCTGTTTCAGTGTTAACAGTCGTCAGGCATGCTTGCTTGATATGAATTTATATAAATCATCTATATCAGCAGAAAGTCAAGATATCAATTTGTATCTGTTTAAGCGTACTTTTAAATTATCCTTCAACAAATATTGGATTCAAGAAAAGGAAAAAAAAATCAAAATGCTCATGCATTTTTGAATGCATAAATATAAACCGCGCAAATTTGATTTACGATTAGTAATTAATCATTTTATCGAGTATTCTTTTTAATCAGTCCCGTCTATTTGGATATCAGTTTTGAAATCAAATAGCCAATGAATACTCCTATCTGCGCATGTGTATTTACCAGCGTAGAAGTCTTTTGAGATTTTAAAACAATTACATAACAATTTGCATGTTTCATACCGCTTTTTTAACCTTGAAAATATGAAGATAAGGAATATTTTTTGATCATTTATTCAAATCTAGCATTACAGGTTGAGAGCAGGGCGATCTAAGATCACAATGAACACATGAGAAGTAAGCATCCCTCTCCACAAACCCTTTCTCTCTAAACTTGACATTAAATAAAAAATAAACAATGCATTTTTAGGTCTTTGATTATAATTTATAAACTATTCATATGTTTTAATTTTTATCTAATTTTGTAAAACTAGTGCGTAAGAACGATTTACTTACATGAACCAGTGATTCCGTGTCATAAAAATAACAAAAAAGTAAAAATTGATGGAATTCATACTTCAAATGTTTATTTAGAACACTATAAATTTTAATATGAATTGATCATTAATATTGTCTCTGCACTTTCATAACAAAGTGCTGGCTAATACACTTCCCAGTTTGTAAACATATGAAGGCATTAAAGAGAATTCAGTTTTCCATTTAATACTGAGTAAATCCATATTTCTACAAATTTTCCGAAACACAATTTAAAATCTCAAAGTATGGTAAAATTCATTGAGATTTTATTATGATCCAAGAGTTAATGAATGATTTCAATTATTTCCTGTAGATTTCTCTTAAAAAGTAATATATATTCATTATCCTTTAGATGGAGTATTTCTAGTGGGTTAAAGTTGGATAGACATATCAGACGAATTGAAATGTTTATAAAGAGGTTGATAGCCCCCATTTTTATTTCGCAAAAAAACAAAAACAAAAAAAAACTAGAGCAAAGCTCGTTGCAAAGCAACGAGTAGGTCTTCCGTCCTGTTTGACCGGAAGTAGCTTTCATTTTTAACAAAAATGAGAAATAACGCCCAAAAATGCTTTGAATCCTCTAAAGCTGAGTTAATTAATGCAAAAATAAGCCATTTTTGGCTACTTCCGGTTTGACCGGAAGTAATGACGACGGACGGAAAATTAATTTTTAAGCTCCCAGAGACGTATGTTACCCAAAAACTTGTCAAGAACAGCAAAAATACACGTTTTTCGATTACTTCCGGTTTGGCCGGAAGTGACGACGCCGGACGCACTTTGACGACTCCAATAGATTGAGTTTGATATTTTGAACAACTTTGCTTCTTTGACGTATTACAAATTCTCAATACTTTTTGAGATATAAAGAAAAAACGTTCGGCCCCTCTAGGCCCTTAATTTTAAGGGCCAGCCCCTTTTTTGAGATATCATTTGAAAGATCTTGGAATTCCACACTTCTTTTATTCTATATATTTTTACAAAATATTTCTAGGTAAAAAGATATCGAAGAAAAGGTGTTAGAAATTTTGAAATTCACGACAGGACTATTTTCGGACCATTGCGAGCGCCGACGTGCGGCGTTTCCGGAAAAATCGAATTGCGAAAGGCACATCTACAGACATAGGTCTATCATATCTGAAAGTTTCATGTTTCTATTTTAACTCATTTTCCAGAAAAACTCTGGAAAACTTGACCCTTTAAAATTCATAAAATCGGCAATATCTCAGACCGGAAGTGATGTTATCAAAAAAGAAAAAAAAAACGCATAAGGTTCAAGTGATGGTACATAAGTCCTGAAAGTTTCATGAAAATTCATCAAGCCGTTTTGGAGAAATCGCGTGCACAAAATCGGTAAGAAAAAAAACAATAATAAAAGTGAAAAAGAAACCTAAGAATAACAGAAAGGTCTTCCGCTGAAGACGGAAGACCTTAAAAAAACATGCTTTATGTTTTTCACCTTTAATGTATTAATTAATTTACATACGAATGCACAGCTTCTGAGAAACACAAAAAAACCGTAGACATTCATTCTTTTCTGGGAAATTGTGCACAGTGCAGCTTATCTAATTAAGGATGTCTATGAGTTCTATCTATAGTTTAAAATACACTCCAAAATGGAAAGCTGTCCCCAACCTTGTGTGCCGCAGTCGCACATTTATGCAGACATTGATTTCAATGTTCGCTCACTTTTGTTGATTTTGGGTGACATGTCAACTACTGATGAAGGCGACATCCTAGAAATAGAAGATATTTATCAGTTACGCGAGGACCTTGAGATTTTGATTCGAAATGTATCGTATTATCATCCAAGAATTCAGGAACTCCATGAAAGGATTTCTTCGTTGAAAACAACGGTTGATCAGTTTACAAAACAAGAAATCAGTATAGAAGAGAGGGTCAGATCTCAATATCAGCTACAGTGGGATGAAACGAAAGACAGATTCACGGATGTTTCAATAGTTTGCAACAACGAGCGTGAACGAATCGAAGAACTTGAAAAGAATGAAATAAGGTTTGTAAATGTATTTAATAAAACGTGAAGCACAGAATATGGTCGAATGATTGTATATTGATTAATGACCCTATACGGATTTTTTTGCTCATTACTCATTAGCTTCTTCATTACTAGGGAAAAATTTTAAATTTAGACCCTTGCTTGGCACTCAATTCCATTGAATATTTAAGAAATGAATCCTTGTTGTCGTGAATGTTGCAGAATAACCTTCGAGGTCGAGAAACGTTGTTTGAAAGATAAAAGCCGAGCCGTTAGCCGAGGCTTTTATATTTCAAACAACATTTCGAGATTGAGGTAATTCTGCAACATTCACGACAACAAGGACTTTATTTCTATTCTACTACATGTGCTAGCAGCTATAAAATACGACTGATCGTTTCGAAACGAATTAGGTCACCATGCTGCGAAAACGCTGTTCCATTTAGCACCAGGGTGTAAATTTGTTTGTTTACCTGTGAATAGAATGCTGACGATTTGTGCTTTCCCTGTACTAAAATTAGCCTTTTATTAATTATAAATCTGTTTAAAGCTTATTTAGATTAATCTTTTTGAATATACAATAACAAAATCAGTTTCCTGTATTACCACTTTATCACTAAATAAATGGTCTAAATAAGTATTTCATGCTTAAGTCAAATGTACATTTCAACTGGACAGGTTTGATATGTGATTCTGATCTGGTAAATTTTTGATGACGTTCGAGATTTATTGGAGAATAATGTCCGCGGCTTTTCTTTGATCTTGGCAATAATTATAGTAGAATGAGAGTTCTTAATCGTGCCATTGCCTACCGTGACAAGGGGCCTCGCATTTAAAGCTCTGACTGAGCTACTGTGACTTTTTAATATCGAATCCGGATATATTGTGTCATATTATGTCATTATACCCGCACTTTCTAAAGAAAGTTCGGGTATATTGTTGTTACTCATGTCCGTCCGTCCGTCCGTCCATCCGTCCGTCTGTCACACTTTTCTTCCCGGAACTCCTCCTACATTTTTCACAGTAGCTTAATCATCTTTTGGGAGATGGTTGGTGGTGTCATGTAGATGTGCAGTAAGGTTTCGGAATTTTGATTTTGCCCCGGGGGATCAAATGGGGGTCGAAAAATGACATTTTTTATGCTAAAAGCCCCGTCTTCCCTGAACTCCTTCTACATTTTACTCAGCAGCCTAATCATCTTTTGAGAGATGGTTGGTGGTGTCATGTAGATGTGCAGTAAGGTTTCGGAATTTTGATTTTGCCCCGGGGGGTGAAATGGGGGTCGAAAAATGACGTTTTTTATGCAAAAAGCCCCGTCTTCCCTGAACTTCTCTTACATTTTATTCAGCAGTCTAATCATCTTTTGAGAGATGGTTGGTGGTGTCATGTAGATGTGCAGTAAGGTTTCGGAATTTAGATTTTGCCCCGGGGGATCAAATAGGGGTCGAAAAATGACGTTTTTTATGCAAAAAGCCCCCTCTTCCCTGAACTCCTCTTACATTTTACACAGTAGGCTAATCATCTTTTGGGAGTTGGTGTCATGCAGATGTGCAGTAAGGTTTTGGAATTTTGATTTTGCCCCGGGGGGGTCAAATGGGGGTCGAAAAATGATGTTTTTTATGCAAAAAGCCCCGTCTTCCCTGAACTCCTCTTACATTTTATTCAGCAGCCTAATCATCTTTTGGGAGATGGTTGGTGGTGTCATGTAGATGTGCAGTAAGGTTTTGGAAATTTAATTTTGTCCGGGGGGGTCAAATGGGTGTCGAAAAATGACGTTTTTTATGCAAAAAGCTCCTTGTTCCCTAAACTCCTCTTACATTCAACTCAGCAGCCAAATCATCTTTTGGGAGATGGTTGGTTGGGTCATGTAGATGTGCAGTAAGGGTTCAAAATTTAGATTTTGCCCCGGGGGGTCAAATGGGGGCCAAAAAATGACGTTTTTTATGCTAAAAGCCCCGTCTTCCCTGAACTCTTTCTACATTTTACTCAGCAGCCTAATCATCTTTTGGGAGATGGTTGAAGGTGTCAAGTAGATGTGCAGTAAGGTTTCGGAATTTAGATTTTGCCCCAGGGGGTCAAATGGGGGTCGAAAAATGACGTTTTTTATGCAAAAAGCCCCTTCTTCCCTGAACTCCTCTTACATTTTATTCAGCAGCCTAATCATCTTTTGAGAGATGGTTGGTGGGGTCATGTAGATGTGCAGTTAGGTTTCGGAATTTAGATTTTGCCTCGGGGGGTCAAATGGGGGTCGAAAAATGACGTTTTTTATGCAAAAAGCCCCGTCTTCCCTGAACTCCTCTTACATTTTATTCAGCAGCCTAATCATCTTTTGGGAGTTGGTTTGTGGGGTCATGTAGATGTGTAGTAAGGCTTCTAAATTTTGATTTTGCCCCGGGGGGTCAATTGGGGGTCGAAAAATGACGTTTTTTATGCAAAAAGCCCCATCTTCCCTGAACTCCTCTTACATTTTATTCAGCAGCCAAATCATCTTTTGGGAGATGGATGATGGGGTCATGTAAATGTGTAGTAAGGTTTTGGAATTTTGATTTTGCCCTGGGGTGTCAAATAGGGGTGGAAAAATGACGTTTTTATACAAAAAGCCCTGTTTTCCCTATACTCCTATTTCATTTTACACAGTGGCCTAATCCTCTTTTGGGAGAGTTCACTCTTTTGAAATTTTGGTAAAACATCAAGGTCAAGGAGTAAAAAATCATAGCATGTTGGGAAACATCTTTTATGGGTAATGTACACTTGAAATGTGAAAGTCGTATCTCTTCTCAATCAAAAGGAAATACAACATTATTGAAAAGTAAATTAAACTTCAAGGTCAAGGTCACAGAGTCAAAAAGTCATGATACATTTGGAAAGGTCTTATCACAGGTAATATACATGCATGTACAATATGAATGCCCTTTCATTTATCTTTCAAAATGATCAATTTAAAATAATTAATTTGTTTATGACAGTAGGTCAAACTTCAAGGTCATGGGTAATAAAAATCATAGTGTATTTAGAATGGTATTGTCCTATTAAATACTAATACACATGTTTAATATAAAAGTCCTGTCTCTTCTCATTCAAAATATATGACCATGATGACCAAGGTTAAATTTATTGTGACAGATGGACAGACTGACAAACAAATGAGATTTAATGTCCCCTACCTTTAGCAAAAATGGGGGACAATAAATGTCCTTGCTGTTCTTGAGATGAAGATTTATGTTGGAAAAAGTCCCCTGCATATTTACATGTAAATTGGTTGAAATTGGCTCAGTGGTTCTTAAGAAGTTAAGAATGTGTAAAGTTTGCAGACAAACAGATGGATGACAGAAAACAGTACATTTCAGAAAACAGTATGCTTGTAACATGTGTAAATACTAAGTTAATCAAGGTGCTTTGGGTAGCAAAATAAAGCTAAACTGTTATATCTAATTCATCTGCAGAGCTTAGTATATTTTAATATGCACAACCTTTTCAACTCTTATAATAATTATTTTTAAAATATTTATATCACCATGTCTGATTCAAGGGAGAACTTGAGATATGACCAGAAGTATATCTGTTGAATATAAAATATGTACATGTATACTGTGTTTTTTTAGTAATTTGTTTGTTTGTTGTGACAGCAACTGTTATGGCAGCTTTTGGCAAAGGTTGAAGTTTCTCAAATGTAAGTCAAACTCCAAGTTCAAGGTCAAAGGGTCAAAATTGTTGGTATCAAAGGGAAAGTCTTGTCACAAGGAATACACATGTGAAATAAGAGAGAAATTCCTAGTACTTCCTCACCTGTTCAAAAGTCATTGCCAAGGTTAAAGTTAAATTGGGTTCAACTCTAGGGTCAAGGATATTTATACCTGTTGAAAGTTCACAATGATTGCACATGTTAAGCATGAAAGTCCTAGCACCAACTATTCAAAACTTAAATTAGGCCAAGTTTAAGGTATTTTTCTTGTAAAAGTGGGTCAAACTCCAAGGTCAAGAGACCAAGAGGTCAAAATTGGTAGTACCCATTAAAAGGTTTTGCCAAAAGAAATTTACCTATGAAATGTGGAAGCCATGTGTATAGCCCAATCCACTTAAAACTAAAATATGGGCAAGGTTAAAGTTTCTGTGAACAGACAAACAGACATAAACACAGGAAACAAAATATGTATATATAGTCAAATGGAAAAATTTTCTACTATTATATGGAGTCATAAGATCAATTGTCATTTCAGGTTACAGGGAGTCAGTGGCTAGGGAGATCAGACACCCCCCCCCCCCTTGAATTTGCAGTTATTTAAATAAGACTATTTACTGAAGAGAATAAAAATGACTTTGGACATCCTCCCCCTTAGAAAACAGGGACCCCACCATCATTGTTTTTATTATTATTTTTTATTTGCTTCTCGGGAAATCATGGGCTGGATTTTTTTTTGACTGAGGTGTGACATCCCCCCCCCCCATTCCGAAAAAAAAAAATTCTGGATCTACGCCTGTAATAGTGTATATATACTGAATGTCCGCAACGGGAGATAACTTGACAATGTGAAATTTGTCGACTGTGGCATGCGATGATCTTTGACCCTTTTTGAACTTCAACCTAACCATTTGTATTTATTTATTTTTATGCAATCTATACTAAATCTTGTACTTACCGAATGTCATAGGTCGTGACAACGAATTCATGAAATATAATCCATATAATCCAATTAAAACACAAATGATTTTAACTGACCACACTGTATCGTCAGCATACATGTGCTAAATAATCTCATATTCCGTCTCCTTCATTAGATGAAGTATGAATCGGCCGAGGTGTGCCGAGTGGACATCTAAAAATATGATAATGGGTGACGCAAACCCAATGTGAATGTAGAAATTTTCAATAAGATGTTCACACGTAAAACTGTTTAGTACAAGAACAAATTTCAAACTATCATAATAAACGATGTTTTAAAATAACTTTGCCATCTAGGTCTATTTTTAAAAAAAATGTGTGAGAGAGAGAGAGAGAGTGTGTGTGTGTGATGGTGAGGGGGGGGGATAGGCATTTACAAATCATTGGGCTGTATTTTCAATGATTTTTTTTTTCCTAAAATAATATTTTATGTGGTTGAGAAAGTAAACTTAAAAAGTTCCAAATTATGGGCAAAATATTTATCAGAATCTAGTTAAGTGATTTACTTTATTAATTAAATTCTGTTATTTCAGACTGGTAATGAATTAAGTATACAAAATACATCTATGAGGCTCATAGATCATATGGTCACCTGAAAATTTTATGCTCAATTTGACGAATACATGTACGGAGATAATTATAGAATTATTTTGACTTTTTCCTTGGAAAGTCCAATATGAAGGCAGTGGCGGATTTAAGTGGGGGCGCACCCGGCACCCCCCCCCCCCCCCCCCCCCCCGCCCTAAAATTGTCAAAGTTAGCATAAAACAGTTTTTTCGAGAAAATGTTTAAAATGTCTTCTCGGTGGACCTCAATTTTACCCTACAAAACCTCTAAAATCTATGAGCTTCCGGGGGCTTCGCCCCCTGGGCCCCCACCAGGACTTTGCCCTGGACCCACTGGGGAACTCAAGGCGGCCCCCAGACCTCCTGCCTAAATCTGGCGCCCCCCCAACTTCAATTCCTGGATCCGCCCCTGGAAGGAGTAAGTATTTAGAGGCAAACACCTTAGTGCCGTTATTACTGTCTCATGACAGCATATAGTGTTATATTTGGCCATGTTATTCACTATCGCATCACACCATCACACCATCGTGGTTTAGATCGATAGTACAATGACGAAGAAGCCATGGTGCGATAACGATGAAACGATGGTACGGTAGCGCGATGATGATGATGATGCGATTACGCGACAATGCGATGACGATGGAACGATAGCACGACGGAGCGATATTGCGATGACACGATAACGATGGCATGCTATTTGATGACGATGATGCGATGGTACGATGACGATGACTCGATATTTACTATCGCTTCATCGTGCGATCCAACCATCGATATCGCACCATCGAATTATTGCATCATCGACCCTTAAGTTGATGCTAGGTTGTGCGACAGTGAACTGCATGGTCCTATCTGGATTCCATAGTTTAAGGATAAAAAAACAAAAAATCTATGCCTGGATTGACAAATATTCTGATCGACTTTGATTTGAAATGACAAAAATAAAAAAGAAATCCCTTGAATAAGAAATCGTAAATTTTCTTTGATACTTAGATAAGGGATTTTGTATCGTTTCTTATGTAATTCTGTGTAAAATTGTGCAAATATTTTTTATGGTTTATTTTACTTGGCAAGTATCATTTAGGTTATCTATTTGAACTCTAGATTGAAATCTATGCGAGATATTGCTGTTTTTTTTTTAAATTGTTTATGATTTTTATCCTTAAAATCAAAGTACATGTAGCTAAAATAAAGCTTAACCTTCAGCTTGGGCAGTTTTTAACACCCTTCAAGGGTTGTTACTCAAGTCTTTTCCTTCTTTAAATGATATTGTGTTTAACAAAATAATATGGAACCGTAAAAATAACTTTCTAATTCATATGGCAAAATGACTTTACCTTTTTTTTCAGATATAAAAGAGCATTGGAAAACAAAAATAGCAGAATAAAGTCACTAGAAGAGAAGGTTGCCACCCTGTCGGAGAGCAATGAAAAATTATCTTCCACAGTTAGCGAATTGAAAGAGGTTTTTAAATCAAATTTATTTATTCACAAAGTACAGTAACTGAATCAATATTTATTTTTAAACGTAAAATTAATGAAATTGTTCAATTAAATGAACACCTTTTACAGTGGAATGTAACATTTGCAAATACAAAAGAGTGGATTTTGAAGACTACCAACAATCGACTCGCCATGTGCAGTACAGAACTATCTTTCTTCAAAACAACACTTAATCAGGCATGTGGAATATGCATTTCTGTATCATATTCTATCTTATTTTAATCTTATTTCAATCTTATTTTACCTTAACTAAGTAAAACAGTTTTTATCATTCAAAAATATAACTTTGCGTTAACCATATGATCTATTTCAGACCATCGGAATGAGGATGTATGACGAGTGGGTATTTGACAAAACAAGAATTCAACAGTATTGGGACGCACAGATCATGCAGACGACAAATATCATAAGGAATATTTATAACATTCGACTCGAGGCAGAACGACGATACCTTGCACAACAGTATCAAATGAAAGTACGTGTTTGTTTTATATGAAAATATTTACATTACACATATTACTTTGCATAAAAAGTGAATGGACATCTATGGCATTCAAAACACCATAACACGGAAAGGGGGTCAAAGGGTTAAAGCATGTGTTTTATTTTGACGTCACAATAGTTGAACGCCGAGGAAGTGCAACGTCATACGCGAAAATAAATTAAAAAACATGCTCACATTGATCAAAACCTGTTACGTTGGTTCTTCCATTCACTGTAGCTTACAGGAAGGATAATACATGGATTTTGAATTTAAATGTAAATGACAACTTTGCAGTCAAGACAGAGAGTTAAACAATGTATAACGTAAATATAAGCAATGAGTCATTATTTTTTGAAAGATAGTCTCATAACTGCAAGGTGTGTGCAAACAAATTTTCATAACGCGTAAGCGCACGTTACTCAATTTGCTTTCAAACAGCGTTGCAGTAAGGAAGCTATATTTTCAAATAATAAAGATCCATTGCTTAAATATTTGCAGGTTGAAATTGCGCCAGTATGAAATATAAAGAAAACGAAAGTGATTCAACAGAACAAGCTGCTAGCAGAGCAAAGAAAGAAAGCAAAAATCTAAAATTTTAGGGCAATCGAGGACAAAATGAAAAAAAATAAACATCGTGTATTGACTCAGGTGCCATTAATAGAAAGGCATCTCGTCTTCACCAGTCACCCTTGCTGTGTGCCATTTGCCATCATCGGATGTAGGGAGAAATATGTAGTCAATCAAATATATTTTACATTTGCAAATATCTTTCTTAGATGATGGTATGTTCAATTCTGTATGAACTTTATTTGGGGTCAAAGGTCAAAGCGCGACCGAATCAGAGTGAGATGATATTTTGTCTACATATTTCTGTTACGGTGCAACTTGTTTCGGAATGTAATTTTTAAATCAATAACGATGAAAAAGATAAAATGATTAAAAAAATAAGGATATTTTTCAATCAAGAGATGTACAAAAAAAATCTTCTTTCGATGTGAATAATGTTTTGAATACTATAAGTAGCGTAAAATCACACTTACCTATTAAACACTAAAATACCTTGGAGTTATATGAAGTAAAACAGGCGATACCACCGCTTTTGACTTCAAATATATTGAGACCTCTAGATATGTAAGATTATTCTCAGCAGCAATCATTTTCCTTCACTATAAACAGATATTTCCTAACTAACTACTAAACATGAACGTAAGCATTCAAATTTTGGGAACAAGATGAACTTTCAAAACTAACTTCTAGGTTACTGCGCTCACAACATAGCAATACGGCGGTCCGTTGTGTAATAAATGCAGTTTTACCGGAACATATTGTTTAAATGTAAATATCAGTAATAAACGACAGTGTTAAAAACGTTTACGGGGAAATAATTAGTTGGTACGTGATAAAATACGAAAAGCCATTCGGGCTTCACAGGATTTAATCACGTGACCAACTAATTTTTTTTCCAAAAATTTTAAATATTGTTGTTTATTTCTAAAAAATTAATGGGTTAACATTTTTATGAAAGATAACATATTGTATTACATAAATAATTGGCAAATATAGCGCAATGATATTGTAATTAGCCTTGTATCATCAGCTTACTTGTGAATAGTTTTTTTAGAAATCGTTGAAGAAATCGCTCTTTCACTTTGAATAACTTGCCACTTAAATTTATATACCCGTGATAATGATATTGCTAATCAAATAGGGACGGTTAACGAAAGAAAAGTTGCAGTTTTCACGATTTTGATATGGTAGAGCAATAGATTTTTCATCGGTTTTTTTCTCGAGTGAGTAATATAAAGCGGATTTGTATTTGGTGTCTTTTACATATGATCAATGTGTGAGATAAAAATATTTTTTTTTTAGATGAACAAAACAGAAACGGAGATACTGAAATTCAAGAAAAGTTATAAAGCGCAATTTTACCGCAAAAAAAGGGGGAAAAAGCAGGAGTTATGGAAAAAAAGGGAATCTAATTGCTCAACTACGCATGATCGACAAAGATGCACGAGACTGAGGGAGAATTTCGCATCATGGTTGACATCGTCGTCTCAAAGTAATTAATATTCATGTTAATATTTTTCCCTAAGCTTGATTTCGTTATTGCACTATTTAGATATTCTTTTTTAGGTTTAAACTTCTTTGTAAACCTTACATTTTTCTGCAGATTCCTTTTATAATTGTTATTCATTATCATAGTACACTTGAAACAACTAGACCATTATTTTTTGGGAAATTTTAGCATTGCTTTCACATCTCCTGATCTTTTTTTTTTTTCAAATTTTGAAAAATCACATTTGGTCGCATTTTTTGTCCTATATTTTTTTCCCCTTTCTATATCTTTTTTGCCTAACAAAAAATACCAAGCAACATAAATTATATGTCGTAAAATTTTTTGGGATAAAAAATAATTCATTACCTTTCACGTGCTGCAACACTAATAACATTCAATATTAATGATACACAAATGATAATTTTTTTGGATATATGGGTATACATTAACCAGATAAGCTTATAATTTTGGTTTATAAATGTTGAATAATTTCATTTCGTTACATTAGTTTCAATTACAAGCACAATTAAATATTTGAAAAGTTTTACAACAAAGTCTATCGGCAGACTGCAATGAAAAATATACATATGTGAGTAATCATAATTTAAAGTAAGAGTGCAATTCAACTCTTTTTCCAAAATAAGCGTACCAAATGTACATGTACCGCTGTTTGACTTGAATAATGGATAACTGTTTTATAGAAAAAAGGAGATTTAATGAAATACAAATGTATTTGGAGATAACGAACAGTTCAAGCTCTAAAGTCCATTAAACAATACAAAATAGGAGCAGAGCAATTGCTGTACCAAAAAATCAAAGGTGAGTCAGGTAAAATGGAGGAGTGAGCACCCCCTGCCGACTGATCACATCCGCCGTGTGCTCCTTTTCATGATCGGGAAATTACGGAAAAATCCGTGTAAATTGTTGCAAATAATGGCATAACTATTAGTATGAAAAAAAAAAGTCAGTCAGCATTTGACTCAGTGCTAAATTGTATTTACTAACAAAGTCATTATATCAACAATAGAACGTCGAAATGTTGACTTTAACGACCTGATATTTTGTTTATTAAATTGTTTTTCAATAATTTATTCCTTTTTTAATTGTTAAAATATATAAGCTTTGCAAAAGAATAAACGGGGGAAAAAAAATGGCAGGCGATGGAGGTATATTGCTGCATAAGTAAGGGAAGTTGACGATTAAAAAGTTAAAGTCTTTTTTAAAAAAATCCCTCAACCCAACCTTAATATCAAAATATTGTCGTGGGTTGTTAAGCTTTCGTAGGATAAAAGTGATAAAATGGAGACTTTCAAAACGTAGATAAAAATGTAAAACAAAATGACGATCTTTTCCAAGAGATTTGAATTTCAAATTTTCAACAGAACCTTTTTTTTTATTTTTTTGTTCTGTTTGTTTCGGAGTATCAAATTTTTTTTTTTAGGGTAGGAGACCTTAGGTAAGTTTAGAATTAAATACCTTTTTCTTTAAAACCCGAATACAACTCCTAAATAGGCATACATTTCCTATTCATTATCAGAAGTAAAAGATAGGAAATGTATATGTATATCATTACCGCATAATATTGTCTTTTATTTTTTTTTTAAAATGAATCCAGCATGGTTTTGCAAAAAAAAAGAAATTAGCCATGAGAAGATTTTTGACAAGGAAATTGTGAGAAACCCAAACTACATTAATGAAGAATTTTACCAGGCAAGCGAAGAGCAAGAGGATGCAGAATCACTTGATTAATCAATTTAAGCTTTTTTTAGGATACACGTAGTGATAAAAAAAGCTTTTTTTTGCGCTCATTAACAAAAAATTGCATTTAATGTGTATGTGTTTAAAAAGAAATTTGAAAAGAATTCTAAAATACACCTTTTTTCTTTTAATCTTTCATTGTCGTCATGCATCAATGTAATTATCTCTTCGTAAAATGTTTATATTTTTTACTTTTCATGTTTTACCTTTCATAACATCATGATGTTTCTTTTTACTTATCTGTGTTTAATCTACATTAATGGTATCCCTTTTAAGAAATGAATTAATATACGGCATGTGTTATATGTTTGCGTTCATTTTTGAAATTAAATCTAAAAAAATCATTGATTTTTTAACTTCCATACTGAAAATTAAAGTTTTTCAAGATGACGAAGATATGTTTTGTTAAGAACCAGTAGTTTAAAATGGTTTGATTATTTCTTCAGTGAGATATTTGGAGATGGCAAACAGTTTTTCCCGCTATAAAAACCGTTAAAACAATACAGATCAAGAGTAGACAAAGCATGGACCTTTTAAAAAATCATAGATGGGATCAGGCACCATGGATGAGTGAGCACCCCATATCGATTTGTCACAACCGCTGCGTGCTCCTTGCCGGGAAGGAATAGAAAACCCGCCAACAGTTTAGGTGGAAAAAATAGACTTTTTTGCTGATTCATTTGAAATTAATGACCATTGAACTTAACGGATGATGAATTTGAAACGCAGGGGATCTCACTACTCCAAGGCACCTGATCCCACCTCTGATGTTTTGGAGGTCAGTGTTTGCTCTGCTCCTGTTTTTATTTTTAGTGGACTTTTGACCTTGGATACTCTGTTGTTATCTGCGTGTGGTTCATTTGTATTCAAAGCTCAATAGTTTCTCGAGGACAATATCTATTTAGTTTTTTGGGGGTCAGGTCT